TCTTTCCGTCTGTCCCTCCGTCTGGTCGCTTTGCGTTTAGCTCAGTTCAAAGTTCAATTTCAAAAGAAACTATTAAATTTTTTATATAAAACTTCCTATGCTGATAAACATTGATGAGAGCTATTTTCCTGCATCAACATATTTTGACTTTGACCTTTCTTTTGAACTTGGTCTCACTTTTTTTTTTTAATTTGTCTAAAGAAACCATTCAGGATAGTATAATCAAACTTCATGTGCCGATATGTACTGATATGTGCCGATACGTACTAGACTACACGTATGTAACTGCATCAACATTTTTATGCGCCTGAATTTTTTTTCGGGGCGCATATTGCTTTTGTCCTGTCTGTCTGTTTGTCTGTCTGTTTACCTGTTTGTCTGTCTGTTGTCAACTTTAACCTTCACCATAACTTTTGAACCCTGAGAGATAGAGACTTCATATTTGGTATGCTTAGACCACTAATTAAGCACTTTCAATTGACACCAAGGACAATGACCTTGTGACCTTAACTGTGACCTATATGCTAAAAATAGATTTTTCGAACTTTCGCTATAACGTTTAAACCATTGGAGGAAGATACTTTATATTTGGTATGCATACTTCACTAATTAAGTGCTTTCAAACGACACCAAGGTCAATGACCTTGTGACCTTGACTGTAATCTATATGCTAAAAATAGCTTTTTCGAACTGTGTTGCCGCCGCGCGCATAGTGTTTCACAAACACATCTTGGTTTTACCTTTCCTTTGACCTTAACCTAACTTTTCTCAGGTTAGTGTTTAACTCAGTTAGAAACAAACCATTCAAGACTGAGTACTAGTATTCAAACTTCTTATGGTGATACAAACTGATGTAAGCTGTTCAACTACATCAGTATTTTTTTTTTTACTTTGACCTCTCCTGTAACCTTGATCTCACTCTACTTAAGTTAGTATTTAGCTCAGTTTTGAAGAAAGCATTTATATTTCTACTCAACTTCATATGCTATACACACTTTTGAGAGCTATCCAAACCTTAGTGTAGAACAGATGCTCTAACCATTGTGCCACGGTGCTCAGATTTGAAGAATTCATTCAAGACATTTTATCAAACTTTAGTATGCTGATACATTTTGTCCTTGCACTTTCCTGTGACCTTTACCTCACTTGTCTTTAATTTGCATTTTGCTTAGTATTAAAGAAACCATTTGAGATATTTTTATGTAAGCTTATGCATTATTTGTAGGGGATTTTATAATCTATATCCATCTTTTAAGATTTCAATTTTTAAGAAACTATTCAAGATATTCTCAACAAACGTCATATACTAATACAGATTTTAATGTTGCATTATTTACTAATATACACTTGGCGCGGCATTCATGTCCTAGCTATAGATATATTTCTAGTTAAATCATTAGGAAAATCATAGTGTTGAACCTAATAAATTCTTCCGATTCGATACATGCTCAGAAAAAATAAGGCTGAACATGTCCAGTCATTCGGACGAGTCAAGGTTACTGACAGAGAAACTGTAAATTCGCTACAGTATTTGTACCTGTGAAACATTGCTGATACATGTATAATGCAGGGTGGGACATGACCTTGACTCAAGTTCAAGGTCAATAAAGATAAGATGCTTTGGCTGGATTCATATACTAAAAGAATATCTAAAAAATGTGTGAACTTTTCCAGTCGGTAATACACATATCAAATTTTTATAACAGAGTTTGTCATTGCTTGACGCAAGGTCATTTAGAAAGTTCAAGGTCACATAAATTCCTTTACAGTCTTTTTCCTGGCGAAACATTGTAATTTGCTTTCTTTACAAGCCTTTAGATTGCTTACTTGTATAACTTTAGAATGTGGCTTGACCTAGACTCAAGGTTACGTCTTCCTATCTGTAGCTCCAACGGAAGACCTATTCGTTGCTTTGCAACGAGCTCGGCTCTAGTTTCTCCAACATTTATTATATACAGATCTTTATCATGATCTAAAACGACCATCAGATGTAATTTTACTCTATTGATCTGCTCCTTATCTATCACAGTAATTTTCTTGTAATGAATGTAATTAACTGTTTTTACAAATATGTTATATATGTGCTTCCAACTGACATATAGTGTCTTAATAATGCAGGTGTTGAGGTGATAATTGTTATATAAACAATTATGGTCATGTCCTACGTGACAACATAGACTGGAGTTAAATATAGCAATGACGCAGCAATAGAATTCCTAACGATTTGTACCTCTAATTGCATATCTTAAATTGAAACTAGACAACTGACCAGTCAGCAAGGGCCCCACCAAGGGGTAGAATTATAAGGGTGCAGCTTATGGAATGATTCAACAAGTATTATGTCCATAAGACATGAATGCCCCGCCGAGGATAATTATTAGTAAAGCAACATGAAAATTTGTATGTGTATATAGAGGATATCTATATTGTGTGATTTGATATTGGCTTTATCCAACGAGTTGAAATGGTGTATATATATTCGCGAGGCTTGCCGAGCGAATATACACCATTTCAACGAGTTGAACAATTATAGATGTTCTATTTATCACTATTTCAACGAGTTGGACAATTATAGATGTTCTATTTATCTCATACAACTTTCATTTTAACAAAACTTTGAGACTTCCCCTGCAAAACTACAGGAATGATTGCCAAATTCAAATTAATGACGCATAGCTTGATGAGGTAGCACCGTTGATGTTGACATACCTCGAAAGAAAGTAGATCATGTTCAAAAGTTAAAATTTTTGCTATCTGGGTCTTTGAAAACATTATGTGACAATTGCTGAATCTTCTAATACATCAAAATAACTTCTGACTGAAAGTTGTAAGGACCATGGGAGCATGAAAATTAACTCTTTGTACGGTGGCAGTACAAAACGTGCTATGCAAGGCTAGGCCTACTTGTAAATTCATCGTTGATCAATGGTAAGTTACACCTACATTACATGTACTAGGTAGGCATACGTAGCATAATATAAGAAAGCGTTTTGAAGATGTTAAAGGAATCTTATAACAACAACCTAACTGCTACTCAAAACGATTTAAAGTGGCGGGGGGGTAACATCTGTCTTCAAGTAGCCAATACAGGTTCCTTGATAAAATAAGACATTTCTTTGACATATACGAGTCTTTTTCTTGCTTTTAACAATATTATTGCCCTTTATCATTCATTTTATAAGGGCAATAATTTTCACAAATAAAAGTTTCAATAAAACAAGAGGCCAAAGGGCCTTTAATCGCTCTTCTGAAATTGTACAATCTATCACTTCTATTAGAAGCCTCCAACTCTATTAGAATCATAAGACCCAAAATGCATCAACTTACAAAGTTTGATAATATTTAGCCAGTTAAGACTGAAGATATTATAATATAATTATAAAAACCATAAGTAGGTCACAGTGACCTACCCTTTGATTGAAATTTTCTGAGGACTCAAGATACATTAATTGACAAAGACTGATGATTCTAATTAAATAAGTACCTGAGATATTCAAAAGTAGGTCACCATGACCTACTTTTTGGTCAACATTCTCTGAAAACCCAAGATGAATCATCTGACTAAGTTTGACGATTCTAAGCCAATCAGTACCAGAGATAATTAAATATAGCCATCAAATGTCAAAAGTGGGTCATGGTGACCTACTTTTTGGTTGACGTTATTCAAAAACCCATAATGCCTAAATTGACAAAATTTGATGATTCTAAGCCAATAAGTACCTGAGATATTCAGAATTAGGTCACCGTGACCTACTTCTTGTTGGACATTCAATGAAACCCTAAGATGCATCAACTGACAAAGTTTGATACTTCCGAGCCAATAAGTACCAGATATACTGTATAACTGGATTTTTCTACGGGGTGCTATTTTTTGCGAAATTCTGCGATCAAGTCTTAATCACAAAAAATTCAATCGGAAAAATACGTAAATAAAATCCGGAATTTCAGTTGCGATCATCGAAGTTCTACTTTTACAGATACCGGAAGTATATTTATAAATAATGCCATTGCACGTTTTCAATCGTATTTTACAGGTAATTTACTTGATATCAACAAAGATTGTTTTTCGAATAAATAAAACGAATTCCTAAAGATTCAATATTTATTTGTTCCTACATTGTATTTCATGATTTATTTACATGAAACCAGAAGAGCAATTGTCGGTTTCGCTATTCCGCGGCTTGATCGGGTCCTTCACCAGTGTTTACCAGATTTTTCTTAATCGGTATTCTGTCCCCGAGAAAAGAATTTCTTCTGTAATATTTCCCATACTGGGATAATATAAACTCTTTATAATCATATTAACGAAAGTTCATAGTTTATGGGAACTTACTGAAACGAACTTCTATAAATTAATTTCAAAGAATTATCGTCTCGGTTTCAATTCAAAATAATTGACTTTGTTTCTAATTTACCCTGTAAATAATAACCCAATAATTATAACAACACACGGACGACCCACAGGTGTAGTGTCATCTGTGTAAACACCCAATTAACAGCCCAAGGCCTTCACTGTTTCCTGAGGTAAGTTCAGACTGCATCTATTTTACGCTTGATTGGCGTGTATACAAGCGCAATCAAAACTTTGAGAGATAGAGAGTAAAATTCAATGAAATATGTGTAACGGGACCCAGGTTTTTGTTCGAGAGATAGAGAATTTCGAGAGATAGAAGTTCGAGAGATCAGGAGTAAATTTGCTTAGTTATATAGAGGGAAAAATACAGGACCGGAGGTTCACTTCTAGAGATCGGAGTTCAAGCCATCGAGAGTCACCTGTATTTTAAATTGCTTTGGTTTGTTCAATAAAAAATAAAAATAGACTTTATTGTTTAAATGTCTAGTAATAAAATTCAATAAAAATAGACTTTATTGTCAAAGTGAAATCGCAAAAATTTAAATCGCAAAAAATAAATATACCTATTTCAGGATCAGATCGCAAAAATTTGCACCCGCATTAAAAACCAGTTATACGGTAATTAAACATAAAATGTCAAAAGTAGGTCACAGTGACCTACTTTTTGGTCAACGTTCTCCGAAAACCCAAGGTGCCTAAACTGACAAAGTTTGATGATTCTAAGCTTATATGTACCTGAGATATTCAAAAGTAGGTCACTGTGACCTATTTTTTGGTCGACATTCTCCGAAAATCCAAGATGCCTAAATTGACAAAGTTTGATGATTCTTAGCCAATAAGTGCCTGAGATACTTAAATATAGCCATAAAATGTCAAAAATAGGTCACTGCGACCTACTTTTTGGTCGACGTTCTCCGAAAACCCAAGATGCATTAAATGACAAAGTTTGATGATTTTAGGTCAATATGTACCAGAGATACTTAATTATAGTCACAAAATGTCAAAAGTAGGTCACCATGACCTACTTTATGGTCGTCACTCTCTGAAAACCCATGATGCATCAACTCACAAAGTTTGATGATTCTAAGCCAATAAGTACTGGAGATACTTAAATAAAGCCATAAAAATGTCAAAAGTAGGTCACAGTGACCTACTTTTAGGTCGTCACTCTCCGAAAACCAAATATGCGTGGACTCACAAAGTTTGATGATTCTAAGCCAATAAATACCTAAGATACTTAAATATAGCCATAAAATGTCAAAAGTAGGTCATCGTGACCTACACTTTGGTCGACATTTTTCAGAGACCAAGAAGCATTTACTGACCAAGTTTGATGATCGTAGGTCTGAAGGTAATCAAAATATGCATTTTTAACGATTTGAAAACATATGACGGGCAAAATTCAAAAAGTAGGTCACAGTGACCTACTTTTTCATAAATATGTTTTAAGGTCCCAAGATGCATCAAAGTACAAGATTTGATGATTCTAAACCTCCCAGTGTCTGAAATAATGGGATTTAATATTTTTAAAAGGATAAGTCATAAAGTTCAAAAAGTAGGTCACGGTGACCTACTTTTAAGTTGACGTTGTTTGAGGACCCAAGATGCATCAACTGACAAAGTTTGATGATCATAGGCCTTAAAGTGTCCAAAATATGCCTTCAAATCAATTTGAAATTAAATCCCCGCAAAATTTAAAAAGTAGGTCACTGTGACCTACTTTTCAGTTAACATGATGTGAAGTCGTAAGATGCATCAACTTACAAGAATTGATGATCCTAGTCCTTATAGTAAGCAAAATATACACGTTTTTATTAATTGTAAATTTAGGTCAATTTTGAAGTGACCTTGAGACCACGCCCTTTTCTCCAGGGTAATTCCCCGTGCAAATTTTAATCTTTGACATATCCTGATTCTTGTATGTACAGTGGCTGCAACGTTATTGTTGACAACTTACACGAACGATCACGTAACACGAACGATCCCGCACGATTAACGCACGATTAAACCTGTTACACGAACCATCCTTCACGCACACGATTCTACACGTTACACGATCTTACATGATTGCTAACGCAAATGCACGATTCTTCACTCAAAATAGTTCAAAATATTTAGGAATCGATATTTTCAAAACGAAATACGATTTAATACTAATTTAAGACTTCAAAGAATTATCAATATTATTTCATGGACTAAAAAAACCCGGAAATGAATATTTCTGTAACTAAATACATGTAAGACTTCATATTTTAGATTATAAATAATTATTTAAGTAATTCTCCTATCTAAGAAAACGGATTTTTTTTCGTTCTATCAGAAGATGTACATGTATGTGGGCCGTATAATTTGATTGAATTGGATTTGATGATATGCAGAAAGGGGGATACGATTGAAAAAAATGGCAGCATGGAATGACTTTAATTACAAATTATATCCGTATATTTCCATTGATTCAATGTCTCTCTAAAAATGAACTTGCCATTTATTTAGCTTTTTTTATTGCGTAAATTTAAGAAATAATTAAAAGTAAGCTCCAGAGATAAACACAGATAATCAAAAACCCCAAAAATCATGTCGTGTGCATGAACATGTATATTCTTCGACTAAATATTCATGTAAGAATTGAGAAATGTTTATGTTGTTGTAAAAAATATTTATATTTGATGTATTGATTTTAAAAATATTTTTACCACAATTAGCAGTAAACAAGAATGAAAATCAGATTTTAAAAAACGTAAGTTTTATGTACGGTTTATCACAATATTGATCGCGCTATTTGACGAGAACTTAATATTGTACGACTTACTATATTGCTTGTTTACGAGCAATAATTAGTTTGTTCTGCATTCAATTAATATGTAAATTGCGCTTCATTCATTTTATTTGTATTTAAATAAATAAATTAAAAGAAGATAAATGCTTATTTGCTTATATTACAAAAAACATGCCGATAAAAACTCACAAAACGAAATTTACACGATTCTAAACGCACGATCTTGCACGATTAAAACCGCAAATGATTGAGTCTGATACGCGCACGATCTCGCACGTTACAAGAACGATCACGCACGATACAGGAACGATTCTACACAATTGGTTTGTCAACAATACCATTGCAGCCACTGTAAGTTTGGTGAAAATCTGCCTGGTGGTTATGGAGAAGAAGATTTTTTAGCAACCAGTACTTTTGGTTTTGTTTTCCTGATTATCTCCCCTTGTTTAAGGGTCCCAACCCTTATTTTACTACAAATGGTAGCCCTTAGGCCAAGGATACCCTGTGACAAATTTGGTACTGATTGGCCAAGGGGTTCTTGAGTTATGGCCCATATTCTAAAAAGTTTATGCACACCACACAAATGGCATTAGCTCTTTGACCCTTTGGCTCAGAAGAGCTGATAAAATCTTGAAGCAAGGGATCATGTCAAAACCTGAAGTGCTATTGATAAAGCAACTACCCGTGGATAAAGCACAAGTTTATCCAACGGCCTGTATCACCCACACGTATGAGATAAAAAATTTCATCAGAATATCTTGAACAGTGATGCAGCTGAATTGCTTACATTAGTATGTATCAGCATATGAAGTTTGACACTAATTTCATTAAAGTGAGGTCAAGGTCAAAGGAAATACCAAGGTCAAAAACTGTTGATTCAGTTGAAAAGCTCTCATCATTAAGTATCAGCAAATTAAGTTGAAAATATAATTATAAATGGTTTCTTTAAAACTGACTTAAACAACTAGAAATATGTCCATAGGACATGAATGCCCCACTGAGGATATATTAGTAAAGCAACATGAAAGTTTGTATGTGAATAAAATTTGATCAGTTTGTTTCAGGTAGGGTTTATAGTTAGTAGGGATAAAAAATATAGGTCAGATCCAGCATCCAAAGCAAGTCTGGTAGTGTCCATCCCTAGATGCATCATCCATGCAAGTTTGGTTCAAGCAGGGCTTATAGTTACTTGGGAATGAAAATATAGGTCAGATCCAGCATCCGAAGCAAGTCTGGTAGTGTCCATCTCTAGAGGCATCATCCATGCAAGTTTGCTCCAAGTAGGGCTTATATTTCCTTAGGAATGGACCTGCTCCAAAAACTTTAACCTGGTCACTCATCTGGAAAATGAAGGTCAGATCCAGCATCCGAAGCAAGTCTGGTAGTGTTCAACCCTAGATGCATCATCCATGCAAGTTTGATTTGGGTAGGGTTTATAGTTCCTTGGAAATGGACCTGCTCCAAAAACTTTAAACCTGGTCACTCATCTGGAAAATGTAGGTCAGATCCAGCATCCGAAGCAAGTCTGGTAGTGTCCATCCTTAGATGCATCATCCATGCAAGTTTGGTCCAAGTACGGCTTATATTTCCTTAGGAATGGACCTGCTCAAAAAACTTTAACCTGGTCACTCATCTGGAAAATGTAGGTCAGATCCAGCATCTGAAGCAAGTAAACTGGTAGTGTTCATCCCTAGATGCATCATTCGTGCAAGTTTGTATCAACATGTGAAGTTTGATAACACCATCTTGAATGGTATGTTTAAAACTGAGCTAAACACTAATTTAAGAAAAGTGAGGTCAAGGTCAAAAAATGTTGATGCAGTTGCATAGCTCTCATGAATATCTATCAGCATATGAAATTTGATGAAAATATCTTGGATAGTTTCTTTGAAACTTAGCTTTGAACAGAGCTAAACGCAAAGTGTGACGGAAAGACAGACGGAAGGACAGAAGGACAGAAGACGGACATGACAAACACTATATGCCCCGGCCATATTCATGGCGGGGCATAAAAATATATGAAGAATAAGCAACAGCAACTGTATTCTTAAAATTTTAAGATGCCTCCTGAATATCCCAAAACCTGTACATGTAAATAATATATCATTGTATTTACATAAGGCAGTAAAGAACAACTCAACATTGAATGTATATTCAAACAATAATGAAGCTTGTGTTATATAAATTGCCAGCCTTCAATGAATGCAAATATCATGAAGGCTTGACTTTAAATTCAAAATAAACAGCAGTTGCAGACAAAGGTTTTCATTAATCTTAAAGTGACAGATAAAGATAGGCCTTCTAAATGTTTGGCAGCAGGCTAGATAATTAATCCCAAAGGATTAATTGCACTTCTCTCACATCCTTTTCTTCTAAATTTACAATAAGAACTTTTTCAGTAATGACAGAATGAAGTTATTATCCAACTACCTTTAAAATTAATTATATTCTTGAATTTACATAGAGCAAAACAAAAAACAAAAAAAAAAAGAAAAAGAAAGAAATTACTAAAATAAAAAAAATTATATTCTTCAATATATTTCTTGCTTTTAGAATTCAATGAAATCATAGCTCATTGTGTAGGGTATTTTAACAAAAATAAAGTAAAAACATTTATATTTAAATCCACATTTTAGTCTTTTACAGAGTGTTCATAGCATTCCAAATTGACTTAACTTCAAAAACAAACTTCATTTGCAGACAAAGGTGGTAATTAATCTCAATGTGACAGATAAAGATAATCCTTTGGATTTTCTTCAAGAGGAAAGCTAATTAATCCCAAGGGACTCATTGCAGCTTTCACAGTTTACAATGGGCAAATTTTCAGCAGTTATCTCTCTTTGCCAATTCATTCTTATTTAAAGTTAAGGAATCTACCCCACCACCCCAGCTCCAAACCCGAGAACATAGAGAAACAAACTTAGCTGTTCAACCAACATACCAAATTTGAACTTAAATGGTCAATCAAAAACAAGAGGCCCATGGGCCACATCGCTCACCTGAGAAACATATTTCCAAATTTGTTATACTTAACCCCATTGATCATAATTTAGAAAAAAAAATGTTCCATGAAAAAATAGAAAATTTGTGGATGGAAGAAGATTTTCAAAGATTTTTCCTATATACTTCTATGTAAAACTTTGATTCCCCTATAATGGCCCCGCCCTTCCCCCAGGGGTCATGATCCCTACAATTTAGAATTTACACTACCCCAGAATGAAAATGGCCCAGTGGTTCTTGAGAAGAAGATTTTCAAAGATTTTTCCTATATATTTCTATGTAAAACTTTGATTCCCCATTGTGGCCCCACCCTTCCCCCGGGGGTCATTATTTGAACAATTTAGAATCTACATTATACCAGGATGCTTCCACATAAGTTTTGCATATTTTCTGGCCCAGTGGTTCTTTAGTAGAAGATTTTCAAAGATTTTTCTTATATATTTCTATATAAAACTTTGATACCCCATTGCTGGGGGTCATATATAATCTTAAGGAATTCATAAGTTTCAGCTTTTATGGCCCAGTGGTTCTTGAAAAGAAGATTTTCAAAGATTTTTCCTATATATTTCTATGTAAAACTTTGATTCCCCATTGTGGCCCCGCCCTTCTCCCGGGGGTCATGATGTGAACAATTTAGAATCTACACTATACCAGGATGCTTCCACATAAGTTTCAGCTTTTCTAGCCCAGTGGTTCTTGAGAAGAAGATTTTCAAAGATTTTTCCTATATATTTCTATATAAAAAAATTGTGGCCCCACCCTTCTCCCGGGGGTCATGATTTGAACAATTTAGAATCTGCACTTGCTTCCACATAAGTTTCAGCTTTACTGGCCCAGTGGTTCTTGAGAAGAAGATTTTTTAATGACCCAACCCTATTTTTGTCTTTTCTTGATTATCTCCCCTTGGGGATATGTCCCTTCATTTTTACAATTTAAATAAAAACAAATTAGTGGTTCTTAGAAGAAGTTGAAAATTGAAAAGTTTCAGAATACATCACAAAGATTATAGTTGAGCCTTCGGCTTGAGCTAAGAAAAAACAGAAAATTTGTGGATTTATAGACATACTGTAAATCATTAATTTTAGACATATGGCGAGATAGCCATGGACTCTTTATTGAGACAAAATTTTCACGAATTGTGCTCATTGCTTTATATAATCTTAAGGAATTCTATTATGATGATATTCTCGCATAAGCGAAATAAAGTTCTCGCTAATAAAAAGTGATTTACAGTAGTGATTACTATAGGGCACCCGCAAATTCTTGCGGGACCCTAAAAAAATAAAAACAAATTATTATAGAATTGAAAATTATTCAGAATACATCACAAAGATTATAGTTGTTGACTCATTTATAGGTATTAATTAAATATATCTTATGTCTTAAGCGATATGCAGTTCATTGATGATATAAGCGAAATTAGTTCCAAATGGATGAATACTCAATGGAAATTAAACATAAACAAAGATCGTTTTTCATCAGAATTATATTTTCTTTCAACACTTAGGGTATATGTATATTTCTACAACAGGTAGGGCTTACGTATATAACTCTCTGAAATTAGATTAACTTTGACGTAATTGGTTACAAAGAGTAATCAATTCAAATGGATCAGGAAAATGGTCATCGATACTGAAAGTGACCTAAAAAAAGGGGGTTGAATTTTGCTCCTACGTATTGAGCGCACCCCTACTTTTGAACGATTTTTTGGCGAAAAAAAGTGCGGCCAATACTGGGGACATTACAGTATTCTTTGTAAAGTGAGTCAAAAGTAAAGGTCAAGTGAATTATAATGCTGGTATTTTTCATAATGTTTTATGACAATCAGTGCACATGCTAAATAGCATAGAATTATCCCTTAAATGTCAAAAATATGCTGTATATTGGCACTTTAAACTTTTTAGTAAATTAGGTCAAAGTTCAAGGTTTAGGGTCAAGAGGTTGGTAATCATGGCAATTTACAAATGCCATAGTGCCAAGCAACAAATGTGCAAAATATCAAGTCAATATCTCTTAAAGTTCTTGAGATACAAGGTGTGACAGACGGACAGACAGACAAACAGACATAAATTGATCCCTTACTGCCGCTCTGCTTCACAGGCAACACAATGATTAAATCTGAATACTTTCTAAAAATAAATATACCATCCACTTCCTCCATATCAGCTTCACTCCCATCCCCCATTTGTTTCTTAAGTTCTGCCACTTTGAACCTGAAGTACTGGTGTGCATGACTTGTTTCTTCATACAGAAACCTTAAAAAGAAAACACATTATAATCAAATAAGCAATTTCAGAGACTTGTTGTCCCCAACTTTTGAGATATTATTGATTAGGCATGTTGTAACTGTCTGTACTATCTTCTTGTCTATCATGAAAAAACTAAAAATATGTCTATAGGACATGAATGCCCTGCCAAGTTTATATAAGTAATGCAACAAGAAAATTTGTTTTTGTGTATGGAGTTTAATGAGAATACCTTGAATAGTTTCTTAAAAATTAAAATTGAAAATTAAAATAATGGATAGAGATGATAAATTCTCATGCAATCATGTACAAGTGCATTAGCTTACAAAAATATATCTTCAAAAATGTCTTCTTTAACTTTTGGGATATTATTGATTAGTAAGCATTATTTATGGCATGTTATTGAGGAGTATTACTATACAAGATGCCCACGGGCCTTATAGTTCACCTGAGTATCACGTAACAACTTTCCAACAATTGAATTTGGTTCATGTTTTAAACCAGAGGCCATGAAATTCACAATTTTGAAATGCTTGTCATAATTATAAACTTAGCATGCTTACTCTATTTACTTAATACCCAGAGGTAGATCAGAGTAACAAAGAGAAAATGCACTTCCACTTTTATATAACCAGTTGTGCACCCCATCTAAAGGAAGCACTGACCCTGGAGCCACATATTTCAAAATTTTGGAAATTTTATCATAGATTTTATTTCATCATAAATGGTTGATTAATACCAAAGAGCAGATTTCAAAGCATTAATTTATTTTCAGACTATGTAACCCCCCCCCCCCCCTCCGATACCCCTGACCCAGGGGGCATGAAATTAACAATTTTGCTAGTTGCACCTTTCTTCCTCATAAACATATATACTTGGATTATAAGCATAATACCCAGGAGCATAGGACAAAATTTTCAAAGAATTAATGTATTTTTCACAACATAATCAAAAGAGCTCCCCCCCCCTCCTTACACCGAATGGCAAAACCCCTGACACAGGGGCCATGAAATTCACAAATTTGGTTGAGGCATTATAACTTTATACTAAATTAGTTTATCTAATATCCAGAAGCAGAGGAGGAGATTTTGAAAGAATTAATGCATTTTCACTATATAATCAATAGAGCCCTGCCCTAACACCAGAACCCCTGACCCTGGGGTCATAAAATTCATAATTTTGGTAGAGGCACTCTTGCTCATCATAACTATGTACTTAGTAAGTTTATTTAATATCCAGGAGCAGAGAAGGAGATTTTCAAAGAAACAATACATTTTCACTATATATTCAATAGGGCTTGGACAATACAACTTTTTCTATATCGATACGCATCACGATATTTGAGCCACGATATGATATGCATCACGATATGTTTAATTGCTTATAAAATCTTTTTTTGCATTGAAATAAACAAATTATTTTTTTGCAAAATAAGAATGATTTATTCAAAATAGTTGTTTATATGTTTTAAAACAAAAATATTTCACTCAGGTTGTGTTAATCATTATTTATTTCATATCTATATTATATTTAGCTTATTTATTTTATATAATAAACCCCAAAAGTTAAATAAAGAAAAACAGAAGTAAGATTTTTTGGGGCGATATATCGATATTTCTTCATATGTATCGATATGCGTATCATCCTCACAGATATCATGATATATTGATATCTCGATATATCGTCCCAGCCCTAATAATCAATAGCGGCCCGCCCTAACACCAGAACCCCTGACCCTGGGGCCATAAAATTCACAATTTTGGAAGAGGCATTCTTCCTCATCATAACTATGTACTTAGTTTATTTAAGGTAGGTCTGTACTTTCAGAATTTTCTGTCAAACTGATAATTTTTTAATTTGAATACCTTGAATAAGTCTTAAACTAACTAAAACACCCATAAAAGACATATCTTTCCAGATTAATTTTTATACAGCATGTCTCAGAGCACATACCTCTAAAAACTCAACAGTCAAAATTGACATAAAAAAGTGTGATATCATATTTCTCTTAGTTATGCACCAAATCACATGAAATTTATGTTAAAACTTATGAAGATAGAAAATATTCATTTGCCAAGAGAATATTTGAAATATTTACTGCAAAATATTAACAAATTGATGTTGAATCTGTCCATGTCTTTCAGAAAAAAATCTCAAAATATCTTTATTTTTTATAATTCTCAAAATCCAAATTGTTTAGATGCCATTTTTTCTTAAAAACTATTAAGAACTAGTGCTTATTGTAACGGGGACCGTTACAGATGTTCCCCAAACGCTCCCCAACTCCCTTTTGGTGCCATATTCCCTGTAAGCTTCATTAAATAAGACAAAAACTTATGCATTTGAGACTTTAACAATGCCAAGTTCATTCAAATTTTAGCATTGCACACGTGCGCATGTGAATGCATGTGCATAATGACCATATCATCTTGTCTACACAATCTATATATTTTTTATATGCTAAATATTAAAGTATTTAATCCAAAAGTATTTTCAAAACAATACGCTCAGTCCAGTGTATTTTTGATTTAACCCATTTCACGTGCACGCACGTGCATATATGAGCATGGTGACTATATCTTCTTGTAGAAATCCATTACATCTATGTATGTTCTAAATCCCACCCCGTTTGGTTGAAAACCAAGGGAGTCATAGCTATTTAAAGTTTCAGCCAATCAGATTACAGCGCACACCCAATCACGTGTATGTTTGAGCATGGGGACCATACCTTCTTGTAGAAGTTCATTATATCTATCTATGTTCCAAATCCCATGCTGTTTGGTTGAAAACCAAGGGAGTTATAGCTATTTAAAGTTTAAGCCAATCAGATTTCAGCGCACGTGCATGCACGTGTTTTAATGATAATTGCTATATATCATGTTGTAGGATATCTTAATGCATGGCTATGTTCAAAATTTCATAGGATTTCGTCGAAAAACAAGAAAGATATTAAGACTTTAGTTTCAGCCAATCAGAGCGAAGCGCACGTGCATGCGCGTGAGATCTTGCTATTTTGATCATGTCATCATGTGTATAATACTATTATATATTTATATTATGAGTTTCAAAGCATATGATCAAAAAATTGAAAAATTACGGCCATATCTATTGTATTAGTCAATTTACGTGTAGCACGTGCGTGCTCTTGCAAGCACGTGCGCACAAAATGACCTTGATTCCGCAAATCTACATAACATGTATACTAACCCTAAAAAGGTTTTACCTACTTCTGATGAACAGTTTACAAGATCACTCGCGGACAAAAAAGTACCCAGGAAGAAGAAGAAAAATAATAATAAGAAACAGAGTAAAAACAATATGTTCCCCAATTTCGTTTGGGGAACATAATTATATCTAATGTTAACAAAAACACATACTTTATTATGGTTGACCAAAGAATTTTAACAAAAAGTCTTTTGAAGACATATACCCCCATTTTTAGAATATCAATTTTTTCAATTATTCATTGCAAAATTTTTCAAAAGTAAAAATTAAATGGATGGTACAGGCTCTAAATCAATAAAAATAGATATCAGGTTAGCTTGCTGAAAAGAAAATTAAAAAGATTTAGGTCCATAAAAGCAATTAAGAATTTTGTGTCTGTGTATGTACTAAATGACATATAGATCTTATGGACGGAGTGCAAAGTGTTAATTTCCATAAATAATGTATATTAAATGCTTTGTATGCACAATAACACTATAACAAACAGATATATACTTGCTAAATCATTTTCAATCACCCAAAAAGATTTTATATATTCAATAGACAAGTGAAAATCAGTCGAGAATTTTATATTGATGTGTAAAATTAGAACCGGATCCGTAAAAGTGTGGTCCTTCCTTAATACCCAGAAGCAGAGAAGAAGATTTTGAAAGAATTAATGTATTTTTACTCTACAGTCAATAGAGCCCCATTCTAATACCAGAACCCCTGACCCTAGTGCCATAAAATTCAAAATTTTGGAAGAAGCACTCTTGCTCATCATAGCTATGTACTTAGTTAGTTTATTTAATACCCAGGAGCAGAGAAGAAGATTTTCAAAGAATTAATGTTTTTTTCACTATATAATCAATAAAGCCCCACCCTCACACCAGAACCCCTGACCCTGGGGCCATAAAATTCACAATTTTGGAAAAGGCACTCTTGCTATGTACTATGTACTTAGTTAGTTTATTCAATATCCAGGAGCAGAGAAGAAGATTTTCAAAGAATTAATGTCTTTTTCACCTTATAATCAATAGAACCCCACCCTAACACCAGAACCCCTGACTCTGGGGCCATGAATTTCATAATTTTGGGAGAGGACTCAATGCTGATTACATTCATAAAACAGTTTGACTGCTTTATGTCCAGGAGTAAAGAAGAAGATTTTTAAAGATTTCATTAATTTTAGAGGTTTTGGCTCCACCCCTCAGGCCCCAGGGGGGCGGGGACCATAAAATTCACAAAATTTGTTCCCTTCACCCATAGATGCTGTAAACCAAATTTGGTTGAAATTGGTTCAGTGGTTCCAGAGAAGCTTAAAATGTTCAAAAGTTTACGACTGATGAACGACGACGGACGAAAACAAATAGCAATAGGTTACCTGAGTTTACTCAGGTGACCTAAAAATCATATTATGTAAGGGTGCTAATTTGTGTCCATTTTTATACCAACCATGACTTCTGCCATAAACAGAGAGCGTGATATCTGGTGAAATCGAGTACAAATGCCGCCAAAAATATAGTGGAATTTCACTATAATAGTGATATACCACTATTATGGTGGAATTTACATTCCCCCCCCCCCCCCTTTAAAAAGCCTCAGTCAAGCTGTGTGACCCATGGGTCACTTAATATTTAGTTCAGACACTATAATATTTTAACTGGAATTTATACTTAGCTGACTCACCAGAACACAGAATTATCCCTGTAGTCTTCCAGGGCCTGCTTTTCTTTTTCAGGAGAGCACTGGGCAAAAAAGGAGGCCATCTGTTCCACCAGTACCACTGTGTCCGGATCCTCTGGGGGAGAAACTAGAAGCAGCCTATCAGTATCGAAAGTTCCCAGGGCCAACACACATCGCACCAAAATTTGACAGCTAACATGAAAACTTTTTTGGACCAATATTCTTGGATTTGACTCCCAAATGAGTGTTCTGAATCTGTTTCATTTTCCATTCATGGATTCATTTTGTAAATTTTTAGCACTGACAATTAAATGCGTACCTATTTTCTACAAGATGACATCCACTCTCTTATACGATTGATAACCCATTTTACATTTCAAATTTGTTTGATAAGGATTTTTTTTTTGCTGTTCTTACTTGAATATTTTGTTGAAAATGAATATGACTACCTAATCGAACTTTTAAAATGATTTCAGTTACACTGCCCCTACCTTTTTATATGCTAAGAATGATAATAAATTGTTACTCACTAAATGCCTGTCCTGAGACTTTCAGTTAAATTAAAAAGTGTATATACCTGGAGTGGATTCTTCCTCAGTATCATCAAACACTGATGGTCTTTTTTTCCCTACTCTGCTACCACTTGCTCTCATCTGCATAGCAACATGTCTAAAACCCAAAAACAAAAAATTAAAATCAAACTCTCTTCTACAAACTGCCTAGCTGTAAATTGTACTGGTATGAATAAACAAGAAGCTCAAATGACAGACTGCTCATCTATTATTTAATATAACAACTGTGATATTGTGGTGTTATCCTACTTCCAAGTTCTGATTTTATCCAAGTTTGACTACCTTAAGATGGTTACAGATTTCTATGACCTACTGAACATTTATCATAGCACTGCTACTCTTAGAGAGAATAATCTTAACGAAGGTTTTTCCTATATATGAGGGTTGTTCTTAAAGTTGGTAGATAGGCTTTAACAGGTTGGTGAGAGTACTCAAAATTGGCTATTATCCATGAAAAAAATGTATAGTCTATAGTGATCATGGTGATAGAAAATCGGAAATAAACATCAATCATAAAATCAGAAATAATTAGTTGAGTTGACTATACAAGAGGGCCATGGGCCTTATATGTCACCTGAGCATCATGCAACAACTTTCCAGTAATTATGTTCCCCAAACGAAGTTGGGGAACATATTGTTTTTACTCTGTTTCTTATTATTAAGGTCTTCCGTCTCCAACGGAAGACCTTATTGTTTTCGTTCGGTTTCTTTTTCCCTATTATTATTATTATTTTTCTTACCGATTTTGTGCACGCGATTTCTCAGAAACGGCTGGACCGATTCTCACCAAATTTACAGATCTGATAGATATTTATCTGAACCTTGTCGGAAATTTTTCATAAGTACGTCGTCACTTCCGGTCGTGAGATATGGACGATTTACTGATTTTTAGAGGGTCAGCTTGTCCTGAGATCTCCTCCTAAACGACTTAAGATATCGACTTGAGATTTTCAGTGAAGGTAGAGGAAGGATAGTAGATGTGACATTTTGCATATAGAGCTTTCCAGGAAAGAAGGCATCGACGCTCGCTTGGGCTCGAAAAATAGCCTCATACTCATCTCGCAAAAATTGACACGTTTTCTTTTATATCTTTTTACCTGTTAATATTTTGTTAAGACATATATAATAAAAAATGTGCAATTTAGTAAGACCTTTCATTTGATATCAAGTAAACGGGGTTAGTCCTTCAAATTAGGGGCATAGAGGGGCCAAAAGTCTCTCGTCTTTAGCTTTTTTTGTTTTTCAATATTTTCAAATTATATTAGTATAGTTGATAGAAACATTTCTTATTAGGCTGAATATATAATTCGTTTGTAAATTTATAAATTCAAACTCGAGATATTAACATTCAAAAATCTGAAGCAGGAACAAAATGGCGGCGGTCTCTGTCAATTCCGACATTTCGCAATAGCGGTTAACAGAGGGCGCCGAGCGTTTGCTTGAACGAAAGTAACATAAGGAGCAATGAAATGTGTAGGGATACTTGGATTGTCACGTCGTAGGTTCGTTGCAATTCTGTGTCAAACTACATTCATAATCCAAGGTCTCCTTACAAATCTTCTTTAATTGGTTGTGGTTGTTTCTCAAAGTAGAAAAAAGAAAAGAATTAATGTGCAAATTAAGTACGCATTGATGATATTATCTAAATCAAAAGGATTTAATCAAAAGAGAAAAGGCATGATTCCATGATGTTTTTTCAAAGATCATAGTGAAAAGTCATATCTCATCTTATCGAAAATTCGGACGGAAGACCTACTCGTTGCTCGCAACGAGATCGCATCTAGTTATTATTATTATTATTATTTTTCTTCTTCCTGGGAAAATCTTTTCCTCGAATGATCTTGTAAACTACACATCCGACTAAGCTGAAACCTATTTAGGGTCAGTAGGCATGTTATGTAGATTTGCGGAACGAAGGTCATTTTGCGCACACGTGCTTGCAAGAGCGCGCACGTGCAAAACGTGAAATGACCAATATAATATATATAGCCGTAACTTTTCTATTTTTTGATTAAATGCTTTGAAACTCATAATGTAAGTATATATTAGTAGTGTAGACGTGATGACGTGGTCAAAATAGCAAGATCTCACGCGCACGCATGTGCGCTTCGTTCTGATTGGTTGAAATTAAAGTCTCAATATCTTTCTTGTTTTTTGACAAAATCTTTTGAAATTTTGAATATAAAGTCATACATCAGGGAGATCTACAGCCTGATATAAAAGAATTATCATGAAGGCATGTGCATGCACGTATGCTTGCAAGAGCGCGCACGTGCAACGCCAGAAATGTCCAATATAATTGATATAGACGTAACTATTTAAATTTTTGATGGAATGTTTTAAAACTTAAAATATAAGGATATATTAGAAGCATAGACTAGAGGACATGGTCAAAATAGCAAGATCTCACGAGCATGCACGTGCATTCGCTCTGATTGGCTGAAACTAAAGTCTCAATATATTTCTTGTGTTTTGACAAAATCCTATGAAATTTTGAACATTGTTATATTTTATGAAGATCTACAGCATGGTATATAAGAATTATGATGAAAAGCATGCGCATGCACGATTGCTGCAATCTGATTGGCTGAAAATTTAAATGTCTATAACTTTCTTAGTTTTCAACGAAACGGGATGAAATTTAGAATATGAATAGGTATAATGGATTCCTACATAATGGCACTATCAAAATTGAATGCACGAACATACATTCATGCATGCGCACGTGCGAAATACGCAAAATGGCAAATTAAAAAAAAAAACAACATTAAAATGTATATTGTAAAGAATTTTTTTATTTATTCTCTCGATATATAGATATGTTAATTGCTTAGACAACATGCCGTGATCATCTTGCATGTACATGCACGTGCGTGCATGAACAATGCGTTAAATGACATATAGTTGATATCATTGTAGCTTTTGTTATTCTTTGATGAAATCCTTAGATACTGATCATATTTTTTTAAAATGTCTAACAAAAATTAAGCACAAAAAGGGATTTGGGGAGCGTTTGGGGAACATCTGTAACGGTCCCCGTTACAATTAGCATTAGTTGAATTTGGTTCATGTTTTAAACCAAATGCCATAACATTCAAAATTTTGAAAGAGGTGCCATTGCTCATCATAACTATACACTTATCATATTTAGTTTGGTTACTAAATACCAATAGGCAGAGTAGGCAGGGTTCGACACTAACGGTAGCCCGCTGGCCCGGGACAACTAAATATTGAGGTCGGGCTACTAAACATGCCTTTAAACTTGCCCTGCAGGGCTACTGTAATTTTTTTTACTAAACACTTACTTAGAACAGCTAAAATAATCAAATTTAAACTAGAAATATGTCCATAGGACATGAATGCCCCGCCGAGGATATATTAGTAAAGCAACATGAAAATTTGTATGTGTATGAAATTTGATCAGAATATCTTGAATAGTGATGCAGCTGAATTGCTTACATTAGTATGTATCAGCATATGAAGTTTGACACTAATTTCATTAACATGAGGTCCCTAGATGCATCATCCATGCAAGTTTGGTTCAGGCAGGGCTTATAGTTACTTGGGAATGAAAATATAGGTCAGATCCAGCATCCGAAGCAAGTCTGGTAGTGTCCATCCCTAGATGCATCATCCATGCAAGTTTGGTTCAGGCAGGGCTTATAGTTACTTGGGAATGAAAATATAGGTCAGATCCAGCATCTGAAGCAAGTCTGGTAGTGTCCATCCCTAGATGCATCATCCATGCAAGTTTGGTCCAAGTAGGGCTTATAGTTTCTTGGGAATGAAAATACAGGTCAGATCCAGCATCCAAGGCAAGTCTGGTAGTGTCCATCCCTAGATGCATCATCCATGCAAGTTTGGTTCAGGCAGGGCTTATAGTTACTTGGGAATGAAAATATAGGTCAGATCCAGCATCTGAAGCAAGTCTAGTAGTGTCCATCCCTAGATGCATCATCCATGCAAGTTTGGTCCAAGTAGGGCTTATAGTTTCTTGGGAATGAAAATACAGGTCAGATCCAGCATCCAAGGCAAGTCTGGTAGTGTCCATCCCTAGATGCATCATCCATGCAAGTTTGGTTCAGGCAGGACTTATAGTTTTGTGGGAATGAAAATACAGGTCAGATCCAGCATCCAAAGCAAGTCTGGTTGTGTCCATCCCTAGATGCATCATCCATGCAAGTTTGGTCCAAGTAGGGCTTATAGTTCCTTAGGACTGGACCTGCTCCAAAAACTTTAACCTGGTCACTCATCTAGAAAATGTAGGTCAGATCCAGCATCCTAAGCAAGTCTGGTAGTGTTCATCCCTAGATGCATCATCCATGCAAGTTTGGTAGGGCACACCAACACTTGGGTATGGCTTATAGTTCCTTGGAAATGGACCTGCTCCAAAAACTTTAAACCTGGTCACTCATCTGGAAAATGTAGGTCAGATCCAGCATCCGAAGCAAGTCTGGTAGTGTCCATCCTTAGATGCATCATCCATGCAAGTTTGGTCCAAGTAGGGCTTATATTTCCTTAGGAATGGACCTGCTCAAAAAACTTTAACCTGGTCACTCATCTGGAAAATGTAGGTCAGATCCAGCATCCGAAGCAAGTCTGGTATTGTTCATCCCGAGATGCATCATCCGTGCAAGTCTGTATCAACATGTGAAGTTTGATAACACCATCTTGAATGGCATGTTTAAAACTGAGCTAAACACTAATTTAAGAAAAGAGAGGTCAAGGTCAAAGGAAAGGTCAAGATCAAAAAATGTTGATGCAGTTGCATAGCTCTCATCAATATCTATCAGCAAATGAAGTTTGATGAAAATATCTTGGATAGTTTCTTTGAAACTTAGCTTTGAACAGAGCTAAACGCAAAGTGTGACGGAAAGACGGAAGGACAGAAGGAAGGAAGGACGGAAGATGGACTGACAAACACAATATGCCCCGGCCATATTCATGGCGGGGCATAAAAATACACAAATTTGTTGGGAGTCTTTTTATGATATTCCAAAGCAGCCCGCATTTCCTGATGATTTACTTTATCACTGTACCTTGCACGACACATCCACACGTGTGACAATCGACCTCTTTCTGTATGTATTAATAACA